ATTCTAGCAATTTGAATTGGTTCCAAAATGTTACGCTCTAGTCTAAAATAATAGAAACGCCGGTGTGAGAGGAGCGACTCCTGGCTTTACAATGATCACCTATTGTGAAAAAAAATTCTCCTAAATAATACATCGCATTTTGACGTATAATTTCCGTACGGTCAAAAACTGATGTACTAAAAATGGTAGCGGTTTGCGAAATTGAAGTGATGTCCCGTTTTCTGTTCGTGGGTGCTCGGGTAATTTTAAGTTTTGGGTAATTTAGTTATTTTTTATTATTAACATCTTTATTGACAAAATTAATTACAATTTTGCCTAATCTGAGGATTTTGATAGTCTTATTAAAGTGAGGATAATGCTGGTATTCACTGTCACGCAGGACAGAGGGTCATACATAAGACAATAGGTCTAAATTGTAGGCTGAAGCACATATATATCATGGTTACAATCAATGTTTTAATGTATGGATATGTGAAAACAACTTTCTATTGTTCACTACCACACAAGGGCAGGGATGGGTTCATAAGTGATGCAGCTTAGAAGTAATATAAATAAAAATTGTTCTTCATTCTTTAAAATGGACAAGTAAATTTTGGGTAAATTGTTAGGATGTCGTCCAGAACACCTGAGTCAATAAAATAGTTACACAGTTGGTGGTACAAGAGGCCAGGAGGTCTAAAGTCCTTTACGGTTTCACATTCATCAATATAGTGTTCTAGTGAATGCATTAAAGGTTTATCACAGAGTTTACAATCTGAGTATTCTGGTAGTGGCAGTACAACAGTTCAGTGACGTTGGGAACGCTCGGGAGAACGGGCCGAGCAAATTGCCTAAGGGACAAACCGGTACGGTAAGAAATACCTCTTAAGTTCTTAGGTACGATTCTTTAAGTTATCGTGAGGTATTCCGTTGGTATCGAACTTTACTGCACAAACACTTAAAACGGTAAACCACAGATTTGAGGCCAATGGGAATAATGAACCTTTGTATTTTATATATCATGCAATAACACGATTATTGATAAACAAATTGAAAGTTAATTTGTGGATTAGTTTCAAAGTTTACGAATTATAGCTAACAATATCAAAGTAAGGAAATTTGATATAACATGTATTTAATGTATAAGTATTTTAACAATGAGTAAGAATTTCTTCAATTCTATAACATTTTCCTTATAAAAACGTTAGATAAAAAAATATGCAAAAAATTTATCTCAACATCAAATAACTTTAATAAAAAGCTGTAAAAATTTGCTCAGTTAAAATTTTATTTATCGTAAGTAATTTACGAAGATTTGAAATGCTGAAACCTTAAACCCGTGAACGTTAGTTTGAGATATAAATAAATGTATATTTACCACTATTATTAGAGTGAAAATATGTTTTCTAAATTAGACTCAATTTTATAAGTAGATATAATACATATGTTTAAAATTCAGCTATAAGAAACATATCCACATTTGCATCAATTAAACATGAAAAGGATCATCTACAAATTGACGATAAAAGTGGTTTTAAACTGACAACGTTTCTATCCAAAAATTAAAATTTCTCCAAATTAGAAAAGGAAAACGGGCTGCATTGCTACCCCATTATTTGAGAATAGAACTTGCTATCAAATGGAAAAAATAATATGATGTTGCAATCTGTCAATATAAGATTATTTCCAAATTTTTAATGATCACTCACACGTGGATATGTTTGTTTCTTATTGTGAACATATGGCTATCACTTACCGTACATGTTTGTCCCTCGGGAAAGTTGCGTCCTCCACAATACGTGATCCCTGAAGCCACGTCGAGTCTCCCTCTCCCTTAAACCGGCGTCACTGTCAAACCAAGAGTTGCCCTCTCACTTAAACCGGCGTCACTATCAAACCAAGAGTTGCCCTCTCACTTAAACCGGCGTCACTGTCAAACCAAGCGTTGCCCTCTCACTTAAACCGGCGTCACTGTCAAACCAAGAGTTGCCCTCTCACTTAAACCGGCGTCACTGTCAAGCCACGAGTCGCCCTCTCACTTACACTGGCGTCACTACACTAACCTCAAGTTGTTTTATACTCGACCTTAACACTTTGGAATCAACTCAATCACTAGAATGACACCCAAGTTGAACAGTTCACTCCTCGACTCCTTTGTTTATACATAAATTACGTCTTCTGCGAGCAGGTTGTTAGCTCGTTTTTACTTTTAATGTCTTTTAATAAAAATATATTGTCTTAGTTTGAACTATCTGGAACGTCAGTCCAGGAAGTACCAGGCGAGTTCTCTAACCACTGCTTCCTGGGGGTAACAAAAAGGAGGCTTGGTAGAGGACCGGGCCGCGGGGACGCTAAACCCCGAAATTATCTCAAGATAGGACTGCCAGCAGTGGCGTCTAACAGCCTGGTTGATCAGCAGGCCGCGGGAATATTGACTCCCGGAACCAACAACAGGTAAGTAGATAGAACGTCATTCATTGTCTCCAGCGACCTGCCATAAGTATTTATGGTCTGTGCTGTTCTTATATTCGCGGTTATAAACATATAATTGCTTTGAGGTTCTAAATATATACAAGTGCTTTTTGTATATATTTTGGTTTACAATTTTGAGGACACAATGGTTAAATTCTACCAGTCTACTGAATGAGTTTGTTCGCTCACATGTTTGAAAAGGGTACAGAGCTTTCTTGAATATATTTGACAGATCATTTGTGTTTTATTATTCTAGTGTTCACATTCCTACCTAGTTCCGACATCAAGTCACAGGGCTGTTACACTAAATACCAGAGTTAATCTTGTGCCCAATACGTAACCCAACTATAGAATTAACTAACTTAAACGGCTCACTGCTTCCTAGTGTGTTTAAACCTGATGATAATTACAGCACAAAGTCAATAGTTGCTTAGTTCTCCTGCTCTAATATACCACGATAATGAACCAGATCTACACTGGTGGACCTCTGCTAGTGATTATGTGAACCATTTCCAGGCCATTTCCATGGATTACTCTACGCCTTTTTCTGTAAGGATACATCCATTTATTGTCAGAAATCGAAACGTGGCCTGTTTCAGTATGGCTGTCCCACCAGCAATACGGAAGAGGATGGCAGGATATGACAGATGTGAATGACATAGCAAGGAGAGGTAAAATGTCAACATCTGACAGCGTGGATGGCAGCCCATGGTAGGAGGGGTGGTGTGGATGGCAGCCCATGGTAGGAGGGGTAGTGTGGATGGCAGCCCATGGTAGGAGGGGTAGTGTGGATGGCAGTCCATGGTAGGAGGGGTAGTGTGGATGGCAGTCCATGGTAGGAGGGGTAGTGTGGATGGCAGTCCATGGTAGGAGGGGTAGTGTGGATGGCAGTCCATGGTAGGAGGGGTGGTGTGGATGGCAGCCCATGGTAGGAGGGGTGGTGTGGATGGCAGTCCATGGTAGTAATGTTAAAGTGGCACATATATTATAGTGGAACAGTATTAGGTAGAGGATACTCTCGGTTATCCAATTAGCTTCGACAAGTGGAGATTTGAGCAGCTTTTAGGGTTAAACAAAGTAGTCACTTGCGTCACTCAGCACTGGGGGGCTGTACAAGATGTTTTAACAGGTCTGAGGCAATTTTTGATGTCAAAGATTTAAGCTTATTCTATATTTTTCGAACATAGCTGCTTGATGGGGTTCAAAGTTCTACTCCCCAAGCCCGGCTTGACTTGTGAGAGTTTGGTCTATCAAGCTGTTGCTTGGAGCGGCCCGCATATCCACCACAGCCCGGTGCTGAACTATAATCTGACCGACTTCGTTTTCTAGCTATTTCCTTTATGTGTTAAGCTTTTTTTATTGGTCATGCAGTTACATCAAATACGTTATCTTTGTTTGAGGGATAGTGTACCGGATGACAAATAGAGCAGAATAGTAACACTATTGAACGAACAGGTTCAGAAGCCTGAACCTTGATTCAATTCGTCAAATTTACTGTCACCTCTTCGTATACAACCTTTAAAAACAAAAATTGCTAAGCCATTAATAATATAGCATATTTTTTAAAAATTTCCACAGAAGTGATGCTAAATTGTACACGGGCATATTTGACTGCCCGGAGGTTAAAAAGACTAATGAAGAATAGTTCTCAAAAGTAATATTAAAGGAATGCATGGCAGGCCTTCAAATAAATTAAATCTACTACAAGATAACCACAGCCCGTACTGCTGGGAATTTTTTGTTGTGTAACAATCTTAAATCATTGGTGAATAACTCTTGCAAACCACCATAGCTCTGAATACATGCACATTATTGAAGAATTTGAGCCGGACACTAAGCACGTATAACGGTAAAGTAACATTTCCTCAGATCGCACCTGTATTTTTTCAGGGAATTTTGGAGATTAAAGTTAGGCGTAAGGGAAAGGATTAACCAAGACATTCGTACAATGGCAAAGGCATCACACACACGAGGAGACATTAACACCGAACAGATTGGTTGTATAAATCGTGACTTTCCCAGTACAAAACTCTAGCGATAGCACTAAAGACGTTTTCTCCCACATTGATTTATGTTCCTGTTGATTTTCAATATTAAACCCAACATTTATTACCATTCAAAACCAGTGAATTTAATCGAAAAACAGTATTATAAAATACAAGTGTAGTTCAAAACCGAAGCTGATTGAGCATAACATTTACTTCAGGAGTCAGATTATTTTGATTCACACTAGCAACTATCCATCTTAAAGTGCAATCCTGCAATTCGACACTCGCTGGTGGTAAAACTGCTTGCACTATGAGCACACAAAAAATGATCTGGGCCATGCTACCTAATTTCCAAGAGATGAATTTCATACTGCTTAAAACTAATCAATAGAGATAGTTGGAAAGTCGGCGGGATGGGGGGAGGGGGTTACACTACTTAATTAGCACTACAAAAACTGGATATTTATTACATTAATAAAATTGAAATGTTAACTTATGTATTGCCCAATTCAAAGTATGGCAACATCTCAAAAAAAAAAAAGTGCAAGGATATTTAAAGAATTTTAATCTCCACACTTTATTACCAGATGAAAATTAAAGAAAATAGTTGGTCCTTGTACATGGAATGCTATAGCTTGGGAATGTGCAGTGTTGGTTTCATTGCCGACATGGTCTCTGCCTTTCCATGGGTAAAAGGTGTGGCTGAAGAAGAATTTCTACTCTTCTGGAATCTCCAAGCTGCCATCGTCAATACCTTCAATGATTTCATGGGGGTTCTGACCTTCCACGGTGCAACCAATACTCTGAAAAATAATTAAACTAATTATGATCAACGCATTCTTTAAAGTACTTTCTGCAAATGCTTCCAACAATACATCACCAAATTACATATTTAATTTTGAATACCAGTACTGAATAGCCATAGTAGTATCACCCAGACTGGAATAATTAGTAACATGGTAGTGATGATTATGATAGTAGCAGAGTGGTAGCTTGTCTATACTGGATTATAATTATTATAATTATCAGTATAATTATTATAATTATCAGTATAATTATAATTATCAGTATAATTATTATAATTATCAGTATAATTATTATAATTATCAGTATAATTATTATAATTATCAGTAATTATAATTATTATTATAATTATCAGTATAATTATAATTATCAGTATAATTATAATTATTATAATTATCAGTATTATAATTATAATTATCAGTATAATTATAATTATTATAATTATCAGTATTATAATTATTATAATTATCAGTATTATAATTATTATTATTATAATTATCAGTATTATAACTTATAATTACCATTATAATTATTATTCCAATTACGACCTTTCCCATTTTACACAATAGAAGACTCATTTCTACTTACTTCCCCTCTATTTTCTATTTAATAGTAAATAATAATAAAAGATATCTTAAGGTTATGAAGCTCCCTCACTCCATCCGTATTTTTCTTCACATAGGGCAGATTCCAATCATTTCTAGAATGATCTGATAGGCTTGTCACAATTATTTTGAAAAATACTAGAGGCTTTTACTGTGCTTGCAATGTATGATTGTTTCCAGTAGAAGTGCTAGAATTCTATCCACTATATTTTTCCTTCAACTCCAGTGGGTGCCTTCCATTAAGTTTAGATTAATTAGCACTTTTTGCCAACGACCATATTCGTGTTTGGGTTTAGCACCAGCAGCCATTTGTCTGCCCTTTGAAAAAAAAATTTGGAACACTAGATTCTCGATTTTTACTTATTAATTTGGTGTCGACTGCCAACATTAACATGTACAATACAACCCGCTCTGGTAGGTCCAGTCACACAACATTCAGGACAGCCTGGATGAGCATTGCTTGCTACACATTTATTACTATTCATGAAATGCACGTTACTGGCACTTATACAATGGACAGTTCAATAGGAAAATTATGCCTTGCCGGTTAGCAAAAATGTGTTCTGGATGGTGTGCCAATAAAGACGTTAAAAAAAAATTCAATAATGCTTCAATACCATATAGTCAGATCAGTACTGCTGACATCAGTATAGTACAGATCAGATACTGTTCAGTGAAGTCAATGACATTCAATTTTTTTGTCTACTTGCAGCCATCCTCCATATCTCACCTCTGTGGTCATAAAACGTCATTAATTATACAGTCAACTTCCAGCCAACTTATCACAATCAACATAACTAAAGCCTTACTTTGTTACTTTTTTTCATTTTAACCATAATCAAAGACATTGCCTCCAAAATATGTTGTGAAATTGTACAAACTGCCAAGAGATCCCATCTCAGCTTTTTAGCAATTAAAAAATCAATTTGACACTAAGTCATGATGGTACAAAAGACAAGAATTTTGCAATACTTATAGGTGAACTTGGGAATATAACATTTGACCATGTAATCTACAACGTTGCAAAGGTGTGTACGTATATTAATTACGAAAGTCTGCTGGAAAGGTAAGCCTCTTCCATATAGTTTTCACTTACTAGTCCATTTCTTAAATCAGAGAAACCACAGGAGAGAAAAATGTTCACTATATAAAAATTTAACATCAATACATGCATTTTAATATTTGAAGAACCAGTTTTTCCACCACAATTTTATTTCTTTGTAACAATTTGAAAGGTAACTGGGAAATAAAATCCATATTATATTATATATATATTATATTATATTAGTTTGTAGAATCCCTGGGTAATGCCAAGTAAGCTAATAAAGCACCTACTCAGCGACCATTAGGATGCACATATTCTTGGCCCCCTACATACCCCATCTACATATTATAGATGGAGCATTTGAAAAAGCCTTATAAACACTAATGATAAAGACTTTCCCACCCAATGTAGCCAAAATCTAAAAGGATCCCAATTACCACTACTCAACCTCAAGAGAATAGCCAAACCCTAATGCTTGTCAATGCAGACAACATACATATTGATACCGATGCAAGCAAAACTAAATTATTCAGCGACATGTAGTGACGACGGACAATTGGAAAACCAAGTTTTGCAGACATCTATAAATTAACCAATATATTGCAACATCAAACAATACCTAAATTAACTCATGGTAGATTTTATCTGCTGCCCCCAATAAAATAAATTCCAAATTGCCAGTATTAAAAACCAGAAGGATATTTACCTGTGCAGTTCCCAATACCTCCTTCAGTGTACCGCACAGTGCCTTGGCCTGTGAACGTGGTCGCATGGTGCGGGCAATTTCCAACATCTGGTCCATTGTCAGGTTACCATTGTGCTTAACTATGGAAATAAGAAAATTATATAATAATGATGTATATAAACTTGATTTACTTGATATTTAATGCACATAACTTTCTATACTCTGTATTTCTAAAGTTCTGTAGTAAAATATATTATTTAAAAAGGTTCTCAATACTGTAGTTTGAAATGATATACTGTAACTTATTTTCAACATGAAAATAAAAATGACAAACCGATTCATGTTCCAATTTCCTTTATATTTTTTTGCCAAAAATCATTCTCCAAATTTAGAAAAATAACAGCATAGATATTTGCAGATGAGGAATCACAATAACGTGACTGAAATATGTTGACCAAACCGCACACTAGAAAGTGAAGGGACAATGGCGTTTCAGTCCGTCCTGGACCATTCTCAGTCGATTGAGAAACGTCGTACCCACACTTTCCATTGTGGGTTTTGGTCAGCATAGATATTTTTTTGGTCCAAAGATAATTAAATGACTTTAAACAAATATTTAAGTGTAGCCCAGCATTGAATGTAATGCCATGAACGAGCAGCCTGCACCCGAAGAATGTCAATTGGGTGATTGGAGCCACAAACAAGCAACAAAGCTTGCAGGACTCGGGGTCGAATGTGTCACCGACCCAATAGACAGCATGACAGGCAAAAACAAGGAGCGTCACCCTGAGACAAGGAGACAAGCAACCCTCGAGCTCGCACAACGTGAGAGGGGATGCAGGGATTCTCACAGTGGACAAGAGTGTCCAGCGGGGTTTCTGAGAGCCCCTAGATTGGGTCTGCTAAGGGTTATCCCAGGCAGGGTATTGCTAACTGGTACCCAAAACTACCAAGCAAACTGCTAAAAGCTGAACTCACAGGACATGTCCACTCACGAGGCAAAGCAGGGGCACCGCTACACAAATGACCCTAAGATAAGGGGGAGGGAGAACAAGGCAGAACCCCCCCCCCCCACCAGGCGAAATAAAAAGAAAAGAACCTCGCAAGAGGACAACGTACCCAAAGAGAACAAAGATGGCCTTGGTAAAAACTAGCTATGCAGTACCCTGTGCCCCACCAGAGCAATAACTACCACTTACCCAAAGGCAAACCAAGGGCAGAACCCCCACCCCCCATACACTTTGGGTGGCCAAATGCCATAAGGCCAACAGAGGTAGACCCAAGGTGACTTCTATGAAGTACTTAGGGCACTCAGGGAAGCAAACCCTAAGCACATGCAGCCCGAGTACTTGAGAAATTACTCCCAACTCGCACGCCACCATAAGAGCAGTACTGAACCAAGCACAGAAGACTGTAGTTGGAGCTACACGACTGCACGATCCCATCAGTCGGGAACTGGGGTGTGAATCGCCAGTACAAGGGTCTGGGGCTCCCCCCAGAGAATCATTCAAATAGATCATTGTAATTTATAAAAACTTGTATAATCATGACAACAGTAGTAAGGGAAGTGACAAACCCATGATTACCAAGAACAAGAGCTCTAAAAAAAATAAGTGGTACTGCTGACATTTACAATAATGTATGAATGCTCAATGATGTACAGTAAAAATCATATTTATAGGTTCAACAACGTAAATTGTACATAATGTAATGAGTATAGCAAGTATACAAGAATGTATATTGGGATACTTAATGTATACTAGTATAAGATGAGAGTTCACACAAATATGTCTGAAAATACACACCTAAGCAATAACTATGATTTAAGTGCAAAATAAATTTTTTGTAGAATCCCTGGGTAATGCCAAGTAAGCTAGTCAAGCACCTACTCGGCGACCATAAGGATCCTTATATTCTCGGCCCCCTACATACCCCATCCACATATTATAGATGGAGTAGTTTAAAAAGCCTTAGACAACCTTAGTAGGATAAGCATTTAAAAGATTCAGAACTATGAGGAATAATAGGCAAAGTGCATGGGCAGTTTGTGGAGGAATAGTAGAAACAAAAGGAAAGATTGCAAATAAAATATAAGAACTGTGGTATGCAATGGAGAAGACTACAACTGTACACAGTACCTTGAGAAAGGATGTAAGTTACATAAACAAAATTTGGTATTTAATACACTAACATAGTTTTTCAGCTTTTTATAACATGCAAAGTGTTTCTGAAAGTACAGTACTAAAGTTGCCGTAGAATCTTTAGCATCCAAATTATCACTCCTCTTAACTTGGGAAAATGCTTTAACTTTCAGAACTTTGCAGTAACTCAAATGGCTCACATTGTCATGGAGAAAGTGCTATACTACCTTCAGAAAAAATGAAAATGAGTCAACATGCAGCATGCCGCATACAAGTTTGGGCAGGACTTTACATGCTAATCAGGAATATAAAACAAACGAATACAATTGCCAAAATAGCTAACTAAATATTCACTTACTGTGCTTTACTTTCTTTCGGTCACGTGGGGGCTCCTTGAGGGCCTTTATTACAAGAGAGGCAGCAGAAGGGACAACCTCAACCCGAGCCTGACGATTCTGGATGATGAGCTTCACAGTCACCTTCAGACCCTTCCAGTCCCCAGTGGCTTTCATGATATCATCACCAACTTTCTTTGGGGACAGACCCAAGGGACCGATCTTTGGAGCAAGAGAAGACGTAGCAGCCATCTCTCCTCCAACACACCGCAGACATACTGCAAGATGAGGCCAAAGTCAATATTTCAGTAACGTTACTTAAATGTATGAGTTAAATTTTAAAGATAATCCAAGCTTTCATTATAATATTCACAATAGTGTTAGTGAATAGAAAATTAACCTGTCTAATAACTTGCTTGTTAAAGCCAGTGCTACATTCACTGTTTTCAGCGAGCAACATACCTCCATCTATCAATATAATTTTTGTTTAACTCATTCCAATGTTGCGTTACCATAATAGTAACTAGTTTTAAACTAGAATTTAAAACTAATGTTTTTCACTATACAAGATGCAAATTTCTTGAATAAGAATGTCTTTTTCCATAGCAAATTATTTAAAGTGAATATTGCACAAGTAAAGAAGTTCATGTTCCTCAACATTTAAAAAAATATAAATTTTAAAGCTATTCTTTAAGGTCTCTAAGGGGAGGCTACATTACAATATGTACTTCTAACCACTGAAAAAAAAAATGTACAACTAATAAACTAAGTGATGAAAATTTCCATAAAGGTGGCCTTTAATTTACAGGGTATAGAATGCCTACACGGCAGTACATGAGCAGCTACACGTTTCTACCAAATTTCAGTCATTTAATTCTGATGGATCATTGTCCAGAGATTATATATGTGCACACTAGACAATTGTTCAGAGTTAAGTCGTTTCATAGGTCTTCGTTGGTGAATGATTAAATATGGTAACAAAGAAAATGTAAACAAAAATAAACAAAAGTGCAAGTTTTCTTCTTGGGTATTAGTACATAAATATTTATGCATTACTTTTTCCAGCCAAGTATATGCATTAGCATATGTATAGAGCCTTCAATGGCACTAATAACTACTAACTTGGCAAGTTATGCCAGAATCCCTTATACTTAAACCAAGTAGAACCTTGGTTGACGACTGCCCTTGAGTACAAATTTTTTGGTATACGTCAAATTCATCTTAAAATTTTAATTGGTGAAACTACGATTTACTTGGAAGACAATGTCTGTACACGTATGGGTCGAAGGAGCACGTGGTGCTGGGGGGGCGAGGCGCACTGTTTTAGTAGTGACGACCACGGCCGCACTATAGTTCTTTTTTGAAGCATTTCATCGTTTGCCTTTTTTTTTTTTCTTTCTCAGTATACATCACACCTCTCCTCCATACACCAACAAAGTCCTCAATCAAGGCAAGATATGTACCGTATTGTACAAATTAAGTTATTCGGTATAAAATATATGTTAATATTTTTTGGGTTGTGGAACGGATTAATTCAATTTACATTATTTCATATGGGAAAATTGGTTTTGGTTGACAAATTTTTGGTTGATGATGAGTCTCTGAATGGATTACAATCAAACGAAGGTACCACTATTTAAAATATAATACCGATTTACAAGAAATATGAACAGAATAATGGAAAACTTGCCATATTTAATCTAAAGGTTTCATATTAGATACTTTCACATTATATGGCAAGAGAATAATCACTATTCCTGGTCTGATTCTAAGAATGGGTTCATTTTTGGGCCAAGCGTTTGCCATTCTGAGGACAAGCAAAAATCAGGACAATATATTTTAACTCATCCACTATGCACTATTGCTGGGGCCATGGAGGTTAATTATCCACAAACTGTGCATCCTGACTGGGACTGTATTAGGGTACCACAAGATTTAAAACTCGTGCAGGTACATGGTGCTCACATTGGCTTTCTCAGGCCTCCAGTAAACAAGTCCCATTTCGAACAAAATTGTGGACAACATTCTTGGATGCAAACAGCTTAATACTGAGTGAGATACCATGTGTTGCACATGGTATCTCACCATACCACCATATGGAGGTATGCCATACCACTATATGTACCATATGGTACAACATAAGGTATCGGCACCACTGCTCAGCATAACTAACGACGAAATATAAAACTATGATACTGTAATAAAGACCAGCATGTTCCAATCAGTGAAAACATGGCTTATGATGTTCACAGCATGATGCAAACTGCCACAGCACACTCCCATTGCTTGGAGCATCTATGCATCCTGAAACAACCTTGTGCTCCTTTAGAAAATAAATGCGTGCAACATGATTTATATTCAAAATTTAGTGACTAGGGTTCTGACGACAGCAGCATTGTGCCTAGTTAGCAATAAGCTTATTATATAGGAGGCATTATGGCGAGTCAGGTGGCAGTGTCAGCTGACTAGCATAGTGATACTATGCTCTGTTTAGGTCCAACAAACCAGCTTTGTGGTATATTATGGTGCACATAATGAAGTTATAAAATGTGTATACAGTATAGTGAAATAATGGTAAAAACTTAAAATTGTTCAAATGTAATATTTAACTCGGTGACGAAAAACTGTGTACCATTACTCTACACGATCTATGACTAATACTAGATAGCGAAACAGCATTTCACTTTTAAAAAACCAGTCAAAATATATAAAATTCTAATTTATTACATTCAATGTATATTATGACAGTGCACAAAATAGGGACTAGGATGAACTCATTGATAACTGGCTATAAGATTACTCACCAGAAATACCAAGTGGTTCACAATGGTGAATAACAATATTGATTTAGTTATATATATACAGAGGAACCTTGGTTAAATTTAATCCGTTCCTGCACTGAGTTCGTCACGTAAAATGCTTGCAAAACAGCAGGAACACTAGGAAGCACCACATGGATCTCTAATAGAGCAGAAGCTCATCAATTGAGAAATACTCTGCAAGTGGCTCGCTTGTTACCTGAAATGCTTGTAAATGCGGCGGCTCATCACCCGAGGTTCCTCTGTATATATACTGTATATGCAGTATAACAAAAACTGTTCTTGGAATACCTGTATAATAATTGCTTACCATACAAGATTTAGCACATCAATCCATGCATTTTAATATTTGAAGAAAAACTTTTTTGAAAAAAGTTTTTCACCCAAATTTTATTTCTTGGTAACAATTTGAAAGTTAATTGGGAAATATAATTCTTTATATATAAATATAGTTTGTAGAACCCCTGGGTAATGCCAAGTAAGCTAGTTAAGCACCTACTCAGCGACCATAAGGATTCACATATTCTTGGCCCCCTACGTACCCCATCTACATATTATAGATGGAGTATTTTAAAAAGCCTTCTCTTAAAATAATTTAAAAAGTTCTTATATTAAATAATTTAGTATATAATACACTGACTAGTTAAACTATGATATAGAATAATTACTTTTAGCTCACATTAAAAATACTGTAGTAAGAAATTATCAAGATACCAACCAAGGGAGACTGAAGTCAAGCATATAATGTAATGAAATGACCTTTATTAATTAATAGCTCCCTGGTTAATTGACTTTACAAAACTAAGATCTACAAGTACAAGCCTACCTGATCGCCATGTCATGGGAAAATGACTATCCGGTTTTCCAAAAAAACAAGTAAAACAACCCAAAAAGTAGAAGCCATGCAAAATGTACATACAGAGCTTCCCAGAAGTACTTCTGCACAGCATTTTTAAGTGAATCTAGCCAAACAAAAGTATTTGTTATATTAGCAGGAGGCACAGTACATCACAGATCCAATCAGTTTGCCTCTGGCGATATTTCAATACTACAAACCCTAATCCAACAAGATTTAATATACAAAACGCTTGTGCACCAGCTGTCCTCCCTGTGGCCTAGGCTACACCAAACATGCAAATTGTCTAACAATTAAGAACAAAACCTTAAAACATCAAAGTAAATAACGTCCCCAATACTTAAAAATAAATGGTAATAGGACATATTAAGCACGTACAACACCTAAACCAAATGACTTATAAGATGTGTACAACGACCCACTAAAGAACAATGTTTACAGACTTCTCCCAGCCTACACTTAAAACAATATTTTATTATAAATTTAATTAAATAATATATTTCGGGAGAGGCCTAGCTGGAGGAGCGGGTCAAGAGCCAAGGAGGAAGAGGAGGAGGCTGGCCCCACACCCCCACCAGACACACACACACACACACGCTGCTACCTTACCTTGTGCGGCAGGCGGGCAGACGCCGTCATGTATCGTACAATAACACAATAATCTCAAGTTTACCGGTCTTGATCTCCGAGGGATCGAATTTGGCAGGCATTGCGGAGTGTTACTAGCGGGTGAGCGGACGGCGGCCACACAGACAGGTGGTGGATGAACTCAGCTGAGAACGACCACACGAGTTGCACCCGTCGGCTATGGCAGACACGAGTGTAAAGGGCGGCCACCACGACGCCGCCGACCGCCTCTGGCAACTCTCCCTCACACTACGGGCCTAAACTTATTTTATAATAACACTATTTTATATGAAATGACATTCTATTTTATATGAAATAACATTCTATTATATATTTAATACCATTCTATTCTATATATAATAACATTCTATTCTATATGAAATAATATTCTATTCTATGTAAAACAACATTCTATTCTATACGAAATAACATTATATTCTATATGAAATATTAACAATGATAATTTGCTTTTATATAACATACATACATTAGGGACATCATACAGTGGAGTATTCGTATATACACTATGTGTGTAGTTTGTATATGTACACTTTCCTTTACTGTATCTTTTAATTATTTATATATATAAATTTGTGTTTATTTATTTAAATGCATAGAAAACATATATTAAAAATATTTAATTTTTTAATGAGGTCTACATCACGTCACACAAGTGGAACCTTAAAGACACTACCCAGCTAAACATTTTTGCCGTGTCATTTGTATTATTATTTGTATGTATTATTACATTTATTATAAAATGTCTAGCTAATGAAAATGATTATAATAGAATTTTTATTGATTTACAAGGAGCTTTTGATAAAGCCAACAAAGAGGTTATTTTATATGAATTTGCTGGTCTTGGTGTTAATGTGTTCTCAACACATTTTATTCTTTATACTCATTTAGTATTAAGTATTAGTCATTAAAGTTTTTCATGCCCGAAACGCTTTGCGTAATAGTGGCTTTAGGCATTGTATGTACTAGCTCTATCTATAAATCTATCAATTTATGTAAAATCTCTTGTATGTATGTACCTTACCTGAATAAACATTTTATTATTTATTTATTTATTTAAAGGGAGATTATTGCGCTGGCTAGGGGATTATCTTTACGAAAGAAAGGCTCAGGTGTGGTATCAAGGTTGTATGTCAGGTGTGAGATCTTTTGAACTCGGCACACCTCAGGGAGGAGTGTTGAGTCCCACCCTGTTTAATGTACTAATGAATAAGATAGCATCTGAGAGATACTCAAATGGGGTAACTCCGATCATATATGCCGATGATATTTTGTTTCAGGGCAAAGAGATTTCAAAGGTTCAAACAGTGTTGGACAATTTCGGAAACCTGTGTCACCATATGGGACTGGTGGTTAATGAAAACAAAACTAAGTTTGAATGTAGAAGTCGGAGGCCCATTATATTGAAAATAAACGGTAAAAATATAGAGTTAATATATATAAATATTTAGGCATATATGTTGGATATACCCATGAGAGTTTGGAAGCCGAGATGAACAGACTGTTGGGTCAATGTCGGAAGAGATTACAACCTCTGAAGGCCTTGGCATGCTGTGGAAAGGGAGTGGGAGTCCCTGTGCTACGAATGATATACTTGAGTACTGTAAGATCTCTTATTGATTATGCTGCACCTGTCATTTCTTGTTTTGGTAAAGGTAGGATGGGTATGTTGGAGAAGGTACAAAATGAAGCCATGAGAATTATCTTAGGATGCCCAAAAAATGCTATGATTGAGATAATGAGGATGGAGTTAAATCTGCAGAGTATTGGGGATAGAATTGTAGAGATAAATGTAGCCTCTGCCACTAGATTAATGAGAGGTGGAGGAGCTAATGAATTAATCCTCTCGGTTCAAAAGGTGGGAAGTAGTGAACAGTGTATGATAAAGAAGAGAGTATATATGAATAACTTATGTTCTAATGTTATAAAGTATGATGTTATTACAGAGTGTATTGCTGTGCCCAAGAGAAAATTCACACCACCATGGGAGGATTGTAATGTAGAGGGAGGGAGCCGGTCGGCCGAGCGGACAGCACGCTGGACTTGTGATCCTGTGGTCCCGGGTTCGATCCCGGCGCCGGCAAGAAACAATGGGCAGAGTTTCTTTCACCCTATGCCCCTGTTACCTAGCAGTAAAATAGGTACCTGGGTGTTAGTCAGCTGTCATGGGCTGCTTCCTGGGGGTGGAGGCCTGGTCGAGGACCGGGCCGCGGGGACACTAAAAGCCCCGAAATCATCTCAAAACCAAAAAAACGGCCAGCCTACTCATGAGAAACTCTCCAGACACAAAGCAGAACGCTTTAAGAGAGACCAACGTCGTCTATGCCTTCAAATGCCCGCTTGGGGACTGTAAGCCTCAAAAAACTCAGTATATAGGCAAGACAACAACAGCTCTTTCCAGGCGATTAACGATGCATAAGCAACAGGGCTCCATTAAGGAACATATAATCTCTTCCCACAACCAGACCATCACCAGAGAAATCTTAGCAAACAACACAGAAATCGTCGATAGATACAGCGATAGCAGGCTTGACATCTGCGAGGCACTACACATCAAGAATTCAACACCAGCAATCAACAGCCAATTAATGCACAACTATATTCTACCCACTTCAAGACTCCGCTCCAATATAGAAGCATCAAGATATATGGGCCAATAGGCCCTCTGCAGTTACTTCCATTCCTACCTTCAATACCCATTGTTTCGTGTTCTATTCTGTGTTGAAAGTTTTGTTCACCTCATCCAAAACTGTTGTAACATATCACCTCACCCAAAATGCGGGTATAAAATGAAAAATGAAAGCTGTTTAGTGTTTGCAGGTTATAGTTGTGTGTGTGTAAACTAAAAGTCTTTGAAAATGTAATAAGTTATTACGAAACGCGTTCAAGTGTCGCGTCAGACTAGAAATAAAAATGAATTTTGGAGAATTGATTTTTCAATTACCATCAACAGCGAAAAGAAACATTAGAAATATCGAGAAAATTCATGTTAGAATTATTAATCTTACTTTTTCGGTCATATTTAATATATATGTCTACAGGAAAGACTGCTACCAAATATATATATATATATATATATATATATATATATATATATATATATATATATATATATATATATATATATATATATATATATATATATATATATATATATATATATATATATATATATATATATATATATATATATATATATATATATATATATATATATATATATAACTGAAAACTCACACCCCAGAAGTGACTCGAACCCATACTCCCACAACTGGTATGTACAGGGATGCCTTAATCCGCTTGACCATCACGACCGGACATAAGGAAGTGATAGCCGAGGCTATATGAACCACTTCCCCGCCGGCACTCGGATGGTAATCTTGGGCATAGCATTTTATCAAATCACCTCATTCTTTGGGGCACACGTGAGGAACACAAATGCAAACAAGCCTGAATGGTCCCCAGGACTATATACAACTGAAAACTCACACCCCAGAAGTGACTCGAACCCATACTCCCACAACTGGTATGTACAGGGATGCCTTAATCCGCTTGACCATCACGACCGGACATAAGGAAGTGATAGCCGAGGCTATATGAACCACTTCCCCGCCGGCACTCGGATGGTAATCTTGGGCATAGCATTTTATCAAATCACCTCATTCTTTGGGGCACACGTGAGGAACACAAATGCAAACAAGCCTGAATGGTCCCCAGGACTATATACAACTGAAAACTCACACCCCAGAAGTGACTCGAACCCATACTCCCACAACTGGTATGTACAGGGATGCCTTAATCCGCTTGACCATCACGACCGGACATAAGGAAGTGATAGCCGAGGCTATATGAACCACTTCCCCGCCGGCACTCGGATGGTAATCTTGGGCATAGCATTTTATCAAATCACCTCATTCTTTGGGGCACACGTGAGGAACACAAATGCAAACAAGCCTGAATGGTCCCCAGGACTATATACAACTGAAAACTCACACCCCAGAAGTGACTCGAACCCATACTCCCACAACTGGTATGTACAGGGATGCCTTAATCCGCTTGACCATCACGACCGGACATAAGGAAGTGATAGCCGAGGCTATATGAACCACTTCCCCGCCGGCACTCGGATGGTAATCTTGGGCATAGCATTTTATCAAATCACCTCATTCTTTGGGGCACACGTGAGGAACACAAATGCAAACAAGCCTGAATGGTCCCCAGGACTATATACAACTGAAAACTCACACCCCAGAAGTGACTCGAACCCATACTCCCACAACTGGTATGTACAGGGATGCCTTAATCCGCTTGACCATCACGACCGGACATAAGGAAGTGATAGCCGAGGCTATATGAACCACTTCCCCGCCGGCACTCGGATGGTAATCTTGGGCATAGCATTTTATCAAATCACCTCATTCTTTGGGGCACACGTGAGGAACACAAATGCAAACAAGCCTGAATGGTCCCCAGGACTATATACAACTGAAAACTCACACCCCAGAAGTGACTCGAACCCATACTCCCACAACTGGTATGTACAGGGATGCCTTAATCCGCTTGACCATCACGACCGGACATAAGGAAGTGATAGCCGAGGCTATATGAACCACTTCCCCGCCGGCACTCGGATGGTAATCTTGGGCATAGCATTTTATCAAATCACCTCATTCTTTGGGGCACACGTGAGGAACACAAATGCAAACAAGCCTGAATGGTCCCCAGGACTATATACAACTGACTCCCAAACTGGTATGTCATGCCTTAATCCGCTTGACCATCACGACCGGACATAAGGAAGTGATAGCCAGCTAAGTGCACTCTCTTGGGCATAGCATTTTATCAAATCACCTCATTCTTTGGGGCCACGTGAGGAACACAAATGAATGAGGTGATTTGAATAAAATGCTATGCCCAAGATTACCATCCGAGTGCCGGCGGGGAAGTGGTTCATATAGCCTCGGCTATCACTTCCTTATGTCCGGTCGTGATGGTCAAGCGGATTAAGGCATCCCTGTACATACCAGTTGTGGGAGTATGGGTTCGAGTCACTTCTGGGGTGTGAGTTTTCAGTTGTATATAGTCCTGGGGACCATTCAGGCTTGTTTGCATTTGTGTTCCTCACGTGTGCCCCAAAGAATGAGGTGATTTGATAAAATGCTATGCCCAAGATTACCATCCGAGTGCCG